CAAATAGTCATTTGATCCACCATTTATTGATTACAGCCGCTTTAGGTCTTTTCATGGCATCACATCAATACAGTGGCGGCTGTGTGTATTATAGCCACCACTTTATTGTTTATAGAACATCAGGGCTAAACAGGTTAACCGTCATGCTGTACTAAAAGGGGAAATCAAGTGAGAAAAAATAATAAATCTCCCACTCTGACCTAGTCTGTTAGTCCACATCCTTGTTTTGCAGTGTGCCAGATTGCTTAATAGCACTGGATAATCTTTAACCAGGACCAATGACCCTCATCACCCCGCAAAACATTGTCCATCTGTCGCTCTGAAACAATACAGCCCCTCTATACGTCCATTTGTTGCCAGTGGCAGTGCTACTTGTGTAAAAAGGTGCATCCATGCCGGTGTTGAGAATAAATACAGTGAGATTTACAGCGCAGACACGTTGATCAAATGGGATATATGGTGACACATGCGTCATTGTAGCATGGTGAGCTGTTTTTGGCTGATAGCATCAATAATCCACACACACACACACACACACACACACACACACACACACACACACACACACACACAGAGCAATATCATCATTGTGCACTCTTTTAATGGAGATTTCAGCAGCATATGAGTCACTCTGGACAAACAATGGAGTAATATAACGACAAAAGGACACGCTCTGCTACTGCTTGAGCAGTGTGGGGGGACCGATTGTCAAAGCTTCCTATAATTGTTGCCTTTTACAACAACAAAAAAACACCCAATAGGTCTTCTGTCTGCTCCATGGGAAAGGTCGATTGGTAGGATGTTTGCGGAGGTTTGTATAGAGCGATCAATATCCCTCCTGAGGTGAACACTTCAAGAAAAGGACCATTTTAGAGACGAGTCTTTTTGGACAAAAAAAAAGAGGAAAAAATGAAAAGAATGGATATTTTTTCAGATGTTAATACGTTTTTTATAAAAACATATCCTGCCCTGTTTCTTTTATTCTTCATCACTGCCAGGAAATAGCGTGTTTGCTGTGTGTTTTAGTCTTTAAATGTTTGGGTCTTTCTCTTTTTCCATAACTTATATTGGAAACAATATTTCTAATTATTGGTGCCCATGTATATGACTGTAGGCTCAATAACCTCTCATACCCTGAAGTTAGGCCTTAAATAAGGAGAATAAATCCCTGTTTTAGTTATTTTCAACGCCATCTTGACTGTGCTTGGGCCTGTTAGGGACAATTGAGTGAAATTCCACCCATCTTTGTTTAGGAGGAGAGAAGGTTCTGACTTTACTTCAGATTTCTAGTTTTATGCAGTGTATTGCAGTATCCCTGTACAGTTAGTATTCCCTCCTGACCTTGTTTTGAGCAGTCTGTCCTGACCCTGGATCAGCCTTATTAGGAGCTGACAGACCTGTAGGTTAGATAAGCTTAATCAACACCAAATAAATCACTTTTATGCCAGGGTGTTCAAAACTGGTTTAAACCGTGTTTTTTCGGCCTAAAATGTCTCCTTCTCCTCCAGGCGTCCTCCCTCTGCTTCAGTATTTTCTCTAACGCTACCCATGTGGAATTTAGTGACACACAAGGACTCCGTACTCAAACAAAAACATAGGTTTAATTTGGCGGAGCTATTCCAGGCAGGGTTAAGACAACACAGTGTTTTTGGGGCCCCCGCTTATAATGACTTCCGCCCTCATGAGAAAATATTTGGATGGTGTTTGAATGGAAAAATATGCAAGTATATCTCCTATTCTCACACAAACAGAAATTACTTGACCTGAATTCCTCTTTCCTTTCAAATGAGCTCATCTTGACATAAGAACAAGGTCTAGTGTAGTCAAGAGAGCACCCATGTGGCATTTATTTAAGAACATTTTGGAGGTTTATTAACATCCAGTCAATCATCTGAAAATATTAGCCGTGCTGGATATTAATTATCCAGGACGGTATTTGTCATTCTTCTTTCAAATCCCTCTGAACTGGAACAGTCAGTGTTTGTTAATGTTTACTTTATCTTCACATGCCTGATACTATTTATATGTAAAAAGTTACAGGGTAGGTTGAGCTGAGAAGTACATGGCCGAAAAGGCTGCCAGGATAGCAGAAGGATGAAAGTCCACCTCCGTTGTTTGTCCAGTGAGTCACGCACCACACATACATGTGGGTCTGACGCTCTTAGCCAACAAACTGATCACAGTCTGTGACCTTTGCCCTTGTTAACCCCCCCAGTCGCCAATTTACTGCCAGCAGTCGGGCTCCGATCAGATTGGATAGTTTGGGGGAGGGTTTATTTTTACACAGCCGTGTTGTCACTCAAGCCTCATACTGCCTGTATTTCCCAATACCTCATTGTACTCCAGTTTCTCCTCGTGTCCTGGGTGTAGGCCCCCTCTAGACACATAATATAGATGTTTGTGTGTGTTTACTGTAAATTAGATGTGTTTTTTTTTTTGTTAATGTCATTATCAATAATCAGTCCAATTACCATGACCTTATTCGATACACAACAGAAGCTTTGCAGTGCTTTCTTAAAATAACTAAAATCACACATACATACTCACCAGACACACACATGAACCCATTCAGCCAAAACCTCATATAAATTCCACACTCACCTGCCCTGACCTCAGATTTTTGGTGACAAACCCATGACAGATACCTCACTTTGAGTTTCGACATCTCCGCTGAGGTCATGACTCATTTGCAATTTTTCCAGCGAGGCCAGGGGAGAGGTTAGGTTGTTTTGTAATGTCCAAGCAACAAAAAAACAGAACTCAAAATGTGCTCTTAAGGCGAAAATCATCACAACCCAAATCCTGTTTTTTTTTTTACTACATCTGCAACATACTAGAGATACTTACTGATTCAGATCTGTGCCCCAGTAGGAAAATATGATTATTCCTTGATCATTTGAGGTGATTTTGGGGCCAAGAATTAAAAAAAAATAAACCTGCGGGGCTATGGGCAACTGTTGAGGCAGCTGGGCAGCTGTCAGGGTGTTGCATGCACCAGGGAACAATCATTCAAGTGTAGCAGTGATTTAGCTAGAAGGCGAAAGTCCAGACAGACAGATTTTATATCCTGAGCTTTGTCTGTTAAATTGATTTTTTAAGCTGGAGACAAGGTATCAAAGCCCGAGAGACCAATAAAGTAGCTGTTTTCCTAAAAAGTTGTTGGAGGGTAAAATGAAAAGCTCCAAAACAGTAGATGTGCGTCATTGTTTTGTTTTGAAAAGGGGAGAAAATGGCCATTTTAAATGATAGCCTACATTCACTGATAAACACTGTTATTGTTTATCCTGAAACAGGTGCAGGTCTAAAAAGAAACTACCCCCACCTCTCTGTTTCTCCCTTTATTGCTGCTTTTCACACTCTCTTTCCCGTACATTACGTCACCTTCGACAGGAAATGAGATGCCTCAGCCCAAGGTATTAAGAGACGTCGTCTTGGGGGCTTTTATTTCATTATCCTTTTACTGCCATTCTCTATTCATATTTATTTAAATTGTATTTTTTATGGTCCAAAGGACACAATTGATTTGGGCACACAGACAGACAAAACATTAAAACACTTGCTTTATTTTCCCATGCAAGGTTATGCAATAAAAGGCTCTCTCAAGGCAACACATGTGGTTATTTGTGGGTACATGCTGCCTCCCTGTGGTCTCTAAAGGTACATTCACAGTTCATGTTCTGCACACTAGATGTCAACATTTAGCACATCTGTGTTCATGTGAGGGTAGAAGGACGAGGAGTTATTAATATGAACAGAACATCTATTTAAGCATCAGTTGAAATGTTGTTATTCAGATATCTCAGTCAACCTGCTTCTTGGATCATAATCCTGTTCTTATAAATATTAGAGCCGCCTCAAAGACAATAATATTTTCTCAAGTCATATACTCCAAAGCTATGATGATAAAAAGTTATCTCTGTTCATCTTAGTTGTTTGTGTGTGTAAGCCATTGCAATATCCATATTTATAATACAGATACGCATCCCCACTCAAAATGACAGAATCAGACCTTGGGATAAAAAGGCCTGGCCTTGTTAGCTGACGTGTTGGACAGTGTGACAAAAACACAAAGAACATAGACAAGAACTTGATATCTGAGATACAGAGTGTTGTGAAATGCAGTGCAGCTGAGAAGGAAAGTAAAAAAATAAAATCTGCCAGAAAACATCTTGACACCAAGAAGTACTTTCTCATCATTTTTGAAGTACACGCACTTTAAAGGCTTGATAGGCTGTGGTACTATCAGATCTGAAACAATCGATAAATCAACGGTCAGACATTTTAACTGCAACCATTTTGATAATGATTTACTTGTTGAATACATTCATGCAAAATAAAGCATAACATATTGCTGGTTTTAGCCTATCAAATGTGAGGATTTGAGATGAGTGACACTTTGAGATTGACACCTGTATGGATCTTTTCAGTATTTTCGATAGTACTTACAAATATAGTCACTACTTGGAGCCGTTGTTAAAACAAATTTCACACACACCTTGCTCAAGTTTTGTCTACACAACAGAGTTGAATCAAGTTAATTTTTCTGGTATAATAATAGCTTTTAACCACATTTGAAAAATAACTCCAAACCTTATAATGAATCAAACCTGTGGCCAGGTTTCAAAGGTCATCATTCTTTGATCATTCAAAGTGAATGACAAGAACATAAAGCTAATCATCACATGTATATAGAGCCACTCATTAGCACCATCAGTACCCTGACTTCCTGATGTACAGCACATTATTAGCATTTAAGTCAAAGGCCGAGCAGTTTCCAGAGCTACTTGTCACCCTCATATAAGCACTGAGATGTTAATGTCTCCCCACCGGAGCAAACAGAAGCCACTGTAAAAAACAACCGTCACCTCTGACCCCTCTTCCCCTCAGGTTGCCCCTCGTTCCCACTATTGATCCTCCAGATTCCTCCGATGTCGAGGGTGAGTGTGAGAATCCTCTTCAAGATAAAGGCATTTGAGGAGTCATTACCTGTGTCTCAGCCTGAGTGTGTGTGAAAACTCTCCATGAGAGGGCCGCACACTCATTAAAGTCATTTGTGAGCGGTTCAAAGGTTTCAACTATTTCTTCTGGTCTCCGTCCGTGCAGAGAGGCAGGTGCAGGGTTAACTGGATAAATGCAGGAATTCAGCTTTGACATATAAGGAGGCTCCAAACACGTCAGGTAAGCAAATCTCATAAATCAAGCTGGACAATGCATTATTTGAAACTTCTATTTTTTTCACATTTTTGCTGTTTTCCAATATAATCTAATTCATTTTCTGTTGGACATTGCATTTGCTTCCCACCCAACCCACTGCTGTATATTTCAAAATAATACATTTTACTACATGGACTTAAGTTGTGAAAGGCAGATATTTGATAAAGGGGACAACATACAGACTGTTATTTGGGCTATGCCTCGGGAAAAAAAGTATATTTTTGAAGTAATTCCCGATATAGACACATGTTTGACATTCCTTGTTTTCGTATTCAACACAAAACAAGAGCTTGCATTTTTGAACAAACTAATAAAAGTCCAAAAACAGAAATCTGAATGGACATTTTTGGGATTTCTGAGAAGTAATACTGCAAACATAGTACTGTCAACACTGTAACCCTTTTCTACAGCTATAACTCATACTTTTCTTCTATGTATGATTTTAAAACGGTTTGATTTGAAACAGAACTGCAATATTAAAGAAATATCATCAAAATGATTTAAAAAGGTACACTTTAAAAGTGCAGTTTACTCTTTTCTACAATTATTTATAATCTGATCTCATTTTATCTTTTTTCATTGTGTTCCTTTAACAGACACAATGAAGGTCCTCTCGCTGATGCTTATATTCCTCACAGTTTCTGGATATTCATATGTGTTGCAACCCAGTAAGTATACAATTTGACCTATTAAACATTTTAAGCTTTCAACTAAGTGCTTAAGTATCTGTAGTGACTTTAAAATGAAGATATAATCTGTTGCTAATTATCACACTCCTACCAAACAACAGGTCATTAACACATCCATGCTAATTATTTCACAAGCCTTTAAAAGGGGAACACTGACTGTTGTATTTGCTTCTTGATTTGGTCTTTTGAAATGAATAAGGGTGTCTTTTGCATAACATTTTATTGGAGTGAACTATCGTAATGGTTGCTCTCTGCATTGTAGGATTGACAGTGGCCCAGGTAGCTGAGCTGGACAGAGACCAGTCTGATATGACGAGTGAGCAGCTGGGAGATGTTTCAATATCAGTGGAAGAAGAAGAGAAGGCTGCAGAATTGACCGAGGAAGGGAAAACTGGGGGGAAAAAGATGGGTGGGGGCTTGACTCCAGAGACAAATTCAGAAAGGAGGATGGCTGCTGATGATGAAACATCTCAGAAAAGTGATCAAATGGATCAACTGAAGCAAGAAAAAGTTGAAGAGGAAAGTGAGAGCAGGCTGGTGGCAGGGATCGGTCTTCACAAGGAGGCTAGAAGGGAAATGATAACTGTAAATCAACAAAATGTGGAAGAGAAAGGAGGAAATGGAGGAATAGAAGATCACATAGTAGTTAGCGACCTCACACCTCCTTTTAGCACTTCCTCTACTCAAGTACAGGAAGAATTCATTATTCCTGCCACAATTCAAATTCTCACTCGGTCTCAAAATCCTCCTGGTGTTCCTCCCCCTGATAATCATCATAATGTCCCTCAATCACAAGTATCCTCTGATCCTCCCACCGCTTACGCTAAAGTTAGCCCTCAGTTCTTTCCTCCTCCTGTCACTCTTCCCAGTCCAACAGAAATCAGTCACATGTCAGCCTCAACAGTCCTTCCTGGTTCTGTCCTACTGCTTGAAGATCTTCTTACTGAGGTTTGGAAGACTTCTGGACATCATCTCAAGCAGAAGGAATTGGAAGTTAAGTCTAGTCCGCATTTGGAGGATTCAGAGCTTAAAAATATATTGTTTAAACCTGCACGGAAGGAGATACAAATCACTGTTGTTCAACCAAATCATAATACTGGATCGGTGCAAGCAGCAACGCCAAAACCAAAAGAGTCAACGTTTATTACCAAAGAAGTAAATCCCACACCAAGATCAAATGAAAATAATGCCGTGGTCAAGCTTAATCCAAACATGACCCAGCTCTCAAATAATACCACCAAACCTAGAGTGAAGCAAAATAGAGCATCTCCTCCTCAAACACCACTAACCAAAGTTTCAGCTAAACCGCGGCAGACAACTGCCAAAACACCTTCAGCGAAAAACAGAAGTAAAAGTAAGACAATTAAGAATTCCAAGGAAAATAAAAGGAAAAAGGGCAATAAAACCCAAAAGCCACCACCGAAGAAGAAGGTCGTAAAACCAACAACCTTTCCTTACTTCAAGGATAACTACTGTCCTCCTGAGTGTGCCTGCTATGGAAGGTAAGCTTAATAATGCTTTATAAGACTTAATAGATCCACTGTTATTATGCTTTCCAATGTGAGAAATGTTCTTCTGCTTCGAGTGTTGGTCAGACAAAATGAGCAACCTTAAGATATCATCTTAAAAGTTATGAATTTGAGCATAAATATTGACGCAAACAACTATTGTACTGGAGGTTTTCTCGTGTGTGATTGGTCACATTGGTTTCATGAAATCATCATTCCTTATAATTTATTATGTATTGTTTTCTAGGGTGGTCCAGTGCTCAGACAAAGGTGTGGACAAGGTTCCTTACGGTATTCCCTATAACTCCCGCTACATCCTCCTCATGAATAACCACATCGACGTCATCCAGCTGGACCTGCTCAATGAGTACGTCTCTATGGAGTTCCTAGTGTTGAGCAACAATCGTCTCAAGGATGAAACCATAGAGGGGGCCTTCGAGGGGATTCCGGCTTTGAAGCGCCTCTACCTGAATAAAAACCTCCTAATCAGTGTTCCGGCTGATCTTCCCATGTCTCTCGAGGAACTTCGATTGGACAACAATCATCTGAGTGTGATGTCTGAGGCAGCCTGGGCTCGGTGCCCCGGTCTCTTGATTTTGAGTCTGAGTAACAACAGCCTGGGGAATGGATCTGAATTTCTTCCTAACGCAGTGCTCTCTCCTTTGAGCAGCCTGCGCACTCTGAACCTGGATCACAACCAGTTGACTTCAGTTCCTCTGGGCTTACCCCTGTCCATCAAGCAGCTCTACCTCAAAGGGAACCTCATTGAGCAATTCCGTGGAGGAGCCTTCAATGGGAGATCAGAGCTGATGGTGTTAGATCTGAGTTCAAACAGATTGACAAACAAGGGTCTTCTCCAGGATTCTCTTCTCAATACAACACACTTGGAAAGCCTCAATTTGGAGGGGAACAGACTCAAACAAGTACCACAACACCTTCCCAGCTCACTTAAAACTCTAAACCTGGAGGGAAACCTTATATCTTCCATAAAGAAAATGGTTTTCGGAACCTTGAAAAACCTGGAACACCTGGGTTTAGCAAGGAATACAATCTTCAAAGTGGCACCAGGGGCCTTCAAGACATTGCCAGTCCTTCATCAGTTGGACTTGTGTCACAACACTTTGCGCCAGGTGCCCAGACAGCTCCCTAAAGCTCTGCACTCACTCGCCCTCACCCACAACAAGATTCAAACAGTGCCTCGGGATGCTTTCTGCTGGGGTAATCAAAGTTATAGTCTCAGCGGGCTTGTACGAGTGCAGTTGGAACACAATTTAATCGATATGGGGAAGTTGGATGCGCAGGCTTTTAGGTGCCTACGGGGATTCCAGGTGGTGCACTTCTACTGAACCTCCAAAAGAAAAAAGCAATCATGCTGCTTTGTTGACCTTATCCAAAACCTGTGGTGAGTGATGTTGCTATGCCAGAAACCAATGGTATAACTGAACATTTGAGTCAGAAATATATATATTATGTGTGAAATGTAATGTATTATATGCACCCAATCCAAGCCTCGCTCTTTGGCTGATTTTATGACGTTAATTCTCTTTTCCGAACTACAGTCAGAGAACACTGGATTACACTTGCAATAGGAATAGTTTAACAAACCTAAGTGACCAAACTTGTGATATCAAACTTCAAACTTTCTTATCAGCATCTCCAAAGCAGAATTATTTTGAAGATTTGTATTGCAACTTTTAGTTTCCATCCATTTAAGCAACATTTATAGAAGGTTGCCTAAGATACGCAATCTGAGACACATTTATCATTTTTATTTATTTTCCATTTACTGGGAAAACATTGTAGTAGTCAGCTGTCATTCGACAGAAAGCCGATATGGATAATGTGAAAAGGGGGATGCAACAGGAATTCTCAAGATGTTGGTGCTCGCACTTTGTCAAAAGAATATGTGTTGATATTTATTTAAATGATTTGCAAGGTGACTTTCATTCCACAATGAAATAAGTAAATCCCTGTAAATGATTCTGGAAATTGCTTTCTTTTTATACAAGTCACATGAAGTTTGTGTACATATCATGTGTTTGTGTGTTCACATGTACATGGTGTAAATGTTTAGTGTAGGAAATCAGTAACTCATAATGTATCCAGATATGTACAAATAGGCTTTTTTTTCTCAAAGTGTGAAACCTTTGTATGAACAATACATTTGTCATTGTAATTGTTCAAGCTCATATAAGTGGACATGTGAAAGTTGAGGCTGTTTGGGGTTTTAAAAAAAAGTATTCACTGTCTTTTTCTAAGTTCATATTATTTCCCTGTGAGCGCATGGATTGCAAATCACACCACATATGTGACTTTGAGTTCATGGTGAAAATATGATCAACATGATGTGGATAAAATAAAGTATGCATGTAGAACAACTTCTGCTGGATGTAATATTGCAATAGCTTGTCAACAGAAAACATGTCATTTAAATAAGTGGGATGATGAATGGGCTCTTTGTCTAAGCCTTTTGCAGGATAAGAAAAAAGGGAATCTAAAAGATGGTGGCTAGTGAGCTGCAGTAAAGGTTTTGTCTTCCATGAATCAAAGTTCCCCCGATGCTTTCTCACCAAACCAGAGGAGCTTTTAGGAACTGAGATATAAAGAGGACAGGACAGGTGATTCAAATCATTGAGCAATCAGTTTGAACATAGAAGTAGAGTCCATACAGTAGATCATTCCATCTGCCACATTTTTGGAAATGTATTAAACACAAAATAGAAAACAACAGAAGAAGAATGACTACGAAGAAAAAAAAAAAAACCTCTAGGTGACAAAGAAAAATGTGCACAAAAGAAAACAGAACATAATCATAGTTACACATAAAATATCTGAGGTGGAGTAAAGCTTTGTAACATAGTCAAGCATTCCTGTAAAAACACATAAATAAATAAATTTCAAAACTTTAAAGCCAAGTGACAAAAATACAAGAACATTTGTTGTACTCATGGTAAACGTTTATAGTATCTGAATTTAAAACCACAAAGGACTTCATGCCCTCTCTATACACTCTATTTCTACTATCGTGACTAAGATTGTTGGTTTTTAAAATAGTTTTTTAAGGGGAAAAGTCGACAAGGTGTCAACTTTTTATATTGCTATTTTTTTAACATTCAAAGGAACAAAAACTAATTTATTTTTGGCTGAAATTGCCAAACACATCCTACAGGATTATTAACTGTATGTTAAAGTGTGCTGTTTCAGCTATCCTCAAGTTGGGTTTTGAGTTTGAGTTGGGTTGTCCTTTGTTTGTTTAACCCCTGGCTGGTGAAAAAAAGACGGAAATATAGCTGGCAGGAGTGACAGTTTAAAGCTCCACAGTTAGTTTTCCAAAGCTAATAAATAGCTTTACCGTACCGGGCCAAATGTTCCACTGTAGGCATTTTCTTCATTTTCCATAAACAAATTCCATATCAGTCTAGGTTGTTATTTTTCTCCCGTATTTGGGCAGCTATGATCCCCTTGGGGATTCTCATGAGGACAAACATATCATTAACTTTGTCAGGATCTCGGGAATGTCATTTGAACAACAGTGTTGAACAAACAAATCAAGCAAATGGTGACGAGATGATACCCATTACACAAAAATGCACCCTATCTTTGTTGCAATACTTTTTTATAAATCCAATCTGTGATATAAAATCATGTCATCTATAATACAGAAGTATAAAGAGTGGGTAATATGAAGTTATGTAGTTGCCTGTTCCATGAATAAACAAGAAAAAGTAGCTATGAGATGATTTTATTGCCAAAACTGACGTGTTTTTTTGCTAGTGCAGCATGTACCTGTGGTCACTCTTTCTGTCTCACAAAGTTCCCATGCAGTAAGGTTTTGTAAAAGTGCTGATATAAAAGACTTAGTTATTACATATGAATGTGTTGGTAACAAAATGTCCACTAGATGGCAAGAATGTATAAGGAAATAGTTTTGATGTGTGCCACCATACAGAAAATATGAGGAGCTTGAATGTGGCTCTTTTCCCAGTCTACAAATGAGAGATTGTAGAAATTAAAACACATATTCGTCAGGAAGTTTATCTTGGTGGGGGGGAGGTATATTTAAACGCTTACACCAGACTGGAAACTCAGCTATGCTGGCACAACACATTTAAACACTCATCAACACACAGGCATGCACGAGTCATTTTTTGAACCTTTTGGGGACTTATTTTGCAATAACGTGAAATGATTTGACTTAACCAAAATCCTGAAGAAAATTACATAATAGAAAAGAAGAAGTGAATAAGGGTTTTTCCCCGATTTGAGAAAAGCAGATGAAGGCAAAAGTGGAGAAAAATGCATAAGCCCACGTGGAGTTGTTTAGCGCTTTTTCTCTCTTTTTCCTTCTCTTGCTCGCTTTAATAAGTTCACTCAGCAACGTGGCACTGCACCCATAGGGCCTGGGAAAGAGGAGCAGGAGGAGGGGGACGAGAGGGAGGGCTGGGAGAAGGGAGGAAGAGGAGAAGGGGGAGTGAAGAAGAAGAAGAAGAAGAAGAGTGAAGGGGAGGAGGGAGGGCTTGAAGGATGGATCCAGGCTCCACTGGCTCAGCGCGTGTCCAGAAGGGGAGAGCTTTGGCGGGGCAGGGAGCTCCCCAGCACCTCCCTACGGTCCAGCAGGACCAGGACCCTGTATCACTGCACCACATGTCTACCTGGATCCACTGGAATCCTCCTCCCCTCTTTGTGTCTCCTTTTACTCCCTCTTCCTCGCTCTCCGTCTGTTTTTTCTCTCGTATATTTTCTGCTTTTCACTCAATCACATTAGACTGTGTGCATGCACTACCTGCGTGCACACAGTCGTCTGGTGTGTGTGCGTGGGAGTCTCTTACGTAACGATCATGTGAACTGCTCCCTTGACAGAGACTGAAACCATGTGCTCATTTAAGTAGTTTGGCAGATGGTGAAATTATTTGTGTTACTCCGAATCCTGTGCTGGATACAGTCTGATATTAAGCTTATCCCGACAGGAGGTGTGAGGGATTGGTAGTAGTAAGGGTGCATGCTTATTACCACCATCTCTTAGGTTGTTTTTGTGCCAGTGTATAACCCATCTGCCAGAGTTACCTGTGTTCCCAAGCTTTTATTCTCTCTGGTTGTCTAATTTCTGACCAAAAGAAACACAAAATTCAAGCCTTGTTGAGTTTCTTTTGTTTTAATGCTGACCACATTCTTACAGGAATCAGAGCAAGAGAGTGGGAACACACAAAAGGAACAGAGGGGAACAGGATATTAAACCACACCCTACATGAGAGCCAGCGGGACGAACAGAGAAGCAGACAGAGTTGTGATACTATTCAGCTGACATTCCTCTCCTGATATTTATGATTCTTAGAGGCCTACTTGCCATGAAGGAGCTGGCAATATAGTTCATATTTCTTCATTAAATGTGTAGGCCCAAATCGACGTCTTGTTAACACGAATACTGTAATTCTAGGAGGTAACTGAGAGACATTTGAACTTGTTTGCTGCAGCTAGAATTTTATAGATAACACATAAATGGGAAGTTGATTTGTTGGTACGGTGGCTTTGTGGCAGTTCTTTCACACACATTAATTGAATACAGTTGTAATAAAGGAATAGAAATACTGATTCAGTTCTACTGTGTATAGATGATTTCCCATGTGTGTCTCTCTTTTTCTCTTTCGCACACACATTTCTCTTGCTGTACTGTACTGTGAAAACCTCCCAGTGACTTATTTCAGCCCAACCCAAGATTTACACCTGGCTATCTCAGCCAATCTAGCCTTAAACTTCAAATCAAAACAAGCCTTAACTGTAACCTCGAGCCTGAACTCCAAATCTAGGATTGACACCAATGACCTCATTCTTCACTCAAACTTAATGTCAAAAGGATATAAAAGTCCCTGTGAAGGGTTAAAATGGCTGACTGTCTCCTTCTCACAGCAGAGTGCTATTGCATGTGTGAGAGGGAGGTGGCGCCTGAGTTAGCCGAGAGAAAGGGGTGAAACGGAGAAGGGAAAAAGAAGGAACAGAGGGAGGGGAGAATGAGAGGGAGGAGGGGATAGAGAGAGAAACCATGGGAGCCAGAGGGACCTCAAGACACACATACACCAGCCCATCATCTGCTCCTGGTCTGGACCTGCACTGACTAAACACACACACACGCACACACACATGCAAATACGCACAGGAGCATAGCTTTTACAGTTTTTGCACAAGGTCACACAAGCACATGGGTGGAAATCTATTTCATTCAATTGTACTGTTTTAAATATACAAATATACAAAATATACATTTAAAAAAAGATATCCAGTGAAGTGTCCACTGCCATTGCTCGCATGCATGCACACGTTGTACACGTGCACTCTGTTTTCAGGGGATCCACAAGAGGGCCTGCAGTATTGTGTTCCTCCTCTGTAAGGCAGCACAGCTTGGTCAGGGAGCCCGAGCAAAAATAAGTCTCAAAAGCTTCTCGTTTGAATCCCCTATATACTTCAATCAGCCATATAGAGAAGGAAAATCATTAAGATACTAACTGCTGTTGAGATGGGTTCTGTATTTATCAGCTGGCTATTTAGAGAAAGCAAAGCATTAGTGGGAGACTGTTTTGTGTGGGTTGAATAATCATTCATTTTAATGTGAGATATTGTAAATTGAAGGAGACTGGCTTCAACAATTATTTCAAGTATCAACGAATCTTGCAGGCTTGTATTCAAAATGTTATGCATGTATTTGGAAGTAATTCAATGTATTGTCTTAGATTGACATAACATTAAGTTGGCAACTCTCAAATTGATGGCTGTTTACCATTAAGTCAATATCTGTTTAGCTTAGATGTTCCTGTTGCTGGTTTCTTTGTGATTGTTTGCACAGGGACTCCTGCAAAATAGAAATTACTGAATGTGCATGGAGCCATGCTTAGTCTGAGTTATTTTATTAGGATAAGGACGATGTTGGTGCTTTCTTGTAACATTTTGCATTTATTATTCCAGACTGTACTGCTGCACATTTATATTTTAACTTTCCATTACATCTTGTCTTTTTTTGCCAACATTTTGATTGCAATGACCTGTAAGAGCCATTGTACAACTTCCAAGTTCTGTTTTTCAGAAATCCTGAAAAAATCAGCTAAAGACTCTCCCCTTGGATCAACATCAGTCCACATCAGGTTGGTTTTGAGGTCAGAGAATTTGTATTCACTACTGTTAAAGTATTGTTAAAAGGATTTAATTCGTTTTAGGAGAATGAGATATATTTACACATTCATTTGGAAAACAAAAACATATGATAGTGTGGTCGACTCCTTACATTAATGAAGTTTAGGCAACTTGGGTGTTCCACAGGAACCTGTGTTGGTCCCTATGCTGTTCAACATGTACACTATACAAGATGCAATATTTGTCAAATACATCTTAACTCAGATGATACTGTTCTTTGTTGTCTTGTAATAATTAGCATAAAACCACTTGATTTGTTTAAATATTCAGAGGGCCACTGATTTGATAACATTATATTTTGTTACTGAATATGAAACACTTGATTAGGAAGTATCAATAATCCACCTAATATGTCCATCCAGTCTGAACATCTTCTGCTTGGATTTGCTTTATTCTCTCAGGCAAAGGTTAATCTTGACTTCCTAAAAATTCCTGTCTTTACACTGGCAGGCCAATTGAAACGAATAACCCCGTAAGCTCTTCAGGTGTCCGACACACAAGGAAAAAAAGTAAACCACAGACGGGCTTTATTGGCATTCCACTTGGTGCTCGTAATGAATTTTATAAGGTTCATCAATGGACCAACTTTTAGTAACTCCTATTAAGGAAGAGTGTTTAGGTTTCAGAATCTCATAAAATCTCCTTATCTGGGTCATCTGAATGAGCCAATGTGTGTCACAATCAGTTGTCACTAACAGTCAGCAATTCAAGTGGTCTCTGTCATCTCACTTTATTGTCCTCCATCATCTGTCTGCCCCAGGCACAGGACATGCTAAAAACCATGTCACCGCAGGAAGCATATCCCCTGTTTTTTCAGTTTCCTGAGTTGGCTATTACCATGGTTACACCCTTAATGAAAGTCTAGACAGGTTAGTATGAGGCAAACCAGGTCACAAAAAGTAAAAGAGACTTAAATAGTGGAATAAAGAGGCCGAAATTGAAGAACAATGAGCAATGCCAAAACATAGTTAAGAAGGACTTTTAATGGTGCTTGTGTTCTGAGGATAAGAACTTGAACAAAGGGGGTGTCAATGCTAAGCATGCAGACATTAACTAAGCATTCACTCACTGCTTGACTCGTATTTTTACTGATGTCTGTTTTGAATCTCAATGAGCAGAAAGTAAGACATAAAAAGCCACTAGAGTCATTAAAGGTTATATAGGGAAATAGAATCAAAGCCAGCTTGCTAACTTTATTCTGGACCTCGGTATCTGCAGTACAATATTATATGACCCAAAAAGAGTAAAAGGGCTTTTACAGTAGTCAACAGATATCCGAACATCTGACATGAGAGTTGATTCCACTTCCTGTTCTGCCTCTAATTTCACTGCCATAAAGTGAATTAGTAGCACAGGGAACAAGATGGCAAATTAGAGGTGATCACAGCGGTCATATTACACAGTTGTTTTGTGAGCAGTAGGGGAGGAATGTGACGCAGAGTGAGGAAGGTTCGTGAACGAGAGGGACTGGAGGCTTTGATCAGATGGAGGTAAGTTTAGACAGAAGATACGATACAAGGGGGTTGGTGTTGTGTATGAACATATACTGTTGAATTACCTGGGAAATTGTACAACAATATTCATGGCTTTAGTGAGACTAACACATTTGCTATTGTGTAAACAAATACATAACTGCTATATCACCTGAATGTTAATATGACAGACATAAGAGTAACGGGAGGATTTAATGCATCATAAGGCAATCTGTATAATTACATTAAACTAAAAGGTTAGAGCTTTACCCAATGCTACTCACTGCTAATGCTATCAAAGCTAAGATCCTACAGCCATGCTAGCAGCTCTGCAGAGCTTTGAGCTAAATGCTAACGTCAGTGTGCTAATATGCTCAATATAACTCCAGCATGCAAATGTTTAGCAAGTTTATCATTCCAACACTTGACTTAATGATAAGTCCAACCAATTATGAAACTAGTTTGTAGCTAATTCAATGGGAATTAATTGAAATACACATTTAGTTAAAACCCCCCCCAAAAAATGAAGCTAGGGGAACAGTCTACTGAAATCAATAATGTTGTTGCAAAAATCCAGTACAGTTTGAGCTGTTTAAGTAGTGACTCTGCGGACAAACAAACATGTCCGCAGAGTTACTTTGCTAGTCTACATTTCATTGCTTATAGGCCTAATTATAATTGTAACAAGATTATATTTCTTACATGTCATAACATTTTTAGTCACATTTGGCAGTTTCTGTTCAATTCTATTAAAATCTAGGTAACACTTTTGTTATAAAACATTTGGCGCCATCAACATATAATTCCTTTTAGTTTCCTGTTTGTAACTCCCTCTATCTTTCATATTTGACTTTGTAACCCCGATTTCACACATTCAACAAGTTCATGATAACTTTGATCCCCTTTCCAACAGCTCTTGCTGTGTCAGCAGGGAGTGAAGCTTCTCTTGGCAATAACATAATGCACTTAACTCTTCATCAGGGGGATGGTTTCCAGGAAGCAGATAGAAGACAAAAAAATGTGTCAAATGTTGTGACTTGTAACTTTTATTCTGTGGGCATAAGGCCAGAGCAGTGAGTGAGTCCCGAACTGCAACAAAGTCATAACATCACACACTTTCTGTAGTAGAAAGTCATATTTTATTACAATCTTGTTTCCACTAAAAAGAAAACAATCTGTTAGTTATGACAATGCAAATCAATGTGGCAGGTCCTGTCTTATCCTTCAAACAATATTGTTTATATATTTCACAATATCACGTTTAAAGAAATGTCAGTAAACAAATAAAGCCATTGAAAACAAAGGACTTGCTGCATCTCATTGTTTAACAACTGAAAACATTTCAAATTTGTTTTTTTGACACTGTCTGTTTGTTTGTTACTCACAGTCATTATGTTTTACGGCACTGAGGAACACACCAATTACAGTGAAAGTGAGATGATTTATGATTGTTTGCGAACACAGCAAAGTACAACAGCCAACACACCATAAAAGCTAGCGAGCCTCGAGTAATGTGCATTACGGACAGGCCAACTGCTTATGCCACGTTATGTGAAACAGTGACTTTCAACACTTAAACAGCAGTTGTACATAAATTCACAGATACTGAACATTATTTAAACCTGATAATTTATACATGTTTTGGGTTCAAATGTTGTAGCCAAGTTTAACATCTGCCCATTTGTCTTTTAGGCAAAGAGATGTTACAGAAGGATTATGGAAAACACCCCAGTGGGTGTTGTAGAGTTATATTTGTATTTATTCATGTTAGCAAACTATGGATAAGCTTAAAATGGGAATAATTTGGGTGAAACTGTGAGCTGGATTTGGGGCCTTTTGACATGTGTTTTTGAGGACAAAGGAAGATGGGGGGAAGGTGAGCTCTGGATTCCTTCCTGTATTAACCAGCTTGATAGGGACGCGCAGAGATTTGAAAAGCGGATCAGATATCCCTTTAAATCTCTAACAAGTGGTGATCTCGACGTGCCAGATATAACGAAGCTGAGGAAGAATCCAGACGACCAGAAAGTTTAAATGGAATATACAATGCATATTTTACTATGTTAGGAAAGTTATATACAAAACGTAAACGTTGATCGCCAGGTAGACGGAAAGTCCTGCGTGACGTAAATAGAGCAGTTTGGCGCGGATCTGCAGGTAGTTTATTCCTGAGTGGCGTGGAGACGGTGCAGTTTGTTTGGTTGCGAGGTTTGATTCCTGCACGACAAAACCTGGAAACACGATATTTTAAATCGGGTCGCCGTTTAAAACTGGGGTTAAATAACAGACCAAGGCTGAACGCTAAAAGCCAGAGGTCAGTTATATGTTAAATCGAGGGAGAGCGTTTCCCTTTGTCTGTAAACTTAATTTGAAAAGCTAACGTGGGATAAAGGGCTCTTCACGATCTGTGTTTCATCATTCGAGGTACACTAGCCTGTTGAAATAAACATCACATTATAAAAGCTGGACAAACTGTACGGGGAATAAATCGGTGTGATTTATACCTAAAATACCTGTGTGAGCAATTGTCTGCGGACCTCTGCTGCTGCCATCTAGTGGCTGAAAGGGGATATCACACCCTTGACATTTTTCTGCTGCCATCTAGTGGCTGAAAGGGGGTAGCACACCCTTGACATTTTTCATTACATTGCTGGCCGGTATTGAAGACGGGAAGCACGTTAATAGTAACAACGACAATAGCCCAGTATATTAATTAGAACTGATTTTGGAAAACTGGTACAAAACAATAAGGAATTGAACATTTTTTACAACGACAGCACCAGGAGATGAGTAAACTCAAGAATCTGTAGAGTGTAAATACATTGTGAAAAACACATTTTACACTCGAACTGTTTGCACATCACAGACAAGGAATTTAGACAATATAAATAAATGTTCAGAAAGTAGACATAGGCCTACACTTGATTCAAATTTCATTACTGTGATCCGATTGGTGTGCTCTGCAGGTTTACTATTGTTCGAAGTAACAGTGGGATTTAAAATGAGAGAAAATATGGGGATTTTTTGAAAAAAAATTTTTTTTCGTAGTGTGTGGAATATGTGATGCTGGAAACATGTAAGTATTTCAGAGTTGTGTTGGGTAAATATGTAGCAATGGATGAAACAATTTTTGGAGTGAGTTTTTGTAATATCATTAGTAGACATTAATTATGTTGTTTAGATGGCATTTAACAACTAAGACAGATAATATGATTAGAAAGAGACAGAGTGGAAAGGGTTGGATTTATTTGACATCAGTGTGCAAGACTTCTTATAGGTTAGGTGTCCCGAGACCTGGACTCCCCCTCTGAGTTAGAAAGGCTTTGATCCCGACCCTCCAAGCAGACAAAAAGACCTAACCCAACAGGAGACTCCTCCTTCTCCATCGTACAGACAGAGAACCAGAGCTGAACCAACAACGACAACAAGACTACATCAAGACTGCAGCCAGAACTATCTCCACCTGTGGCATCCAGAACCAAACAGCATGCTGACATACAGAGAGATACTCTCATCAGCCCCTCGGACAGGACATGAGAGCAGAATCCGCCCTCCATAAAAACAGCAGAGAGACTGTAAAGGAGGAGTGCAACAACAGTGGCATGATGGGGCTGCAGATGTGACTGGGCCAATGGCTGCCTACAAAAATTACAGCGGATGGATTCAACAGCTGATGGACTGAAGAGAAGACAGAATCAGAGGAGTTGGCATGGTCGATTAGAAGTGAGGAGGCCGGGGTCACGGCTTGAGAAAACCAGGGGAGGAGGAAAGGAGACCGGGAATGAGTGAGTTATACATAAACACACTTATTCACGAAACGCACATTTAAATAACTTGAATTAACTTCATAAATACGTAAAACAGAAAGATTTATTAATCAATTGGTAAATTAAAAATATCAGTAAAGAGGAAACTATTAAAGTAGAATGATAATCATCCTAAAACACACTGACAGAGTAGAACCATATTCTTCAATATTTTCAATCTTTTAACAAATCATTCTTTAAGACATTTTTATTCACGTGTGAAATAAAGTAGTGATCTCATTGGTTACAATATTGATCACCATTAAAAGGATAGTTTTAGGAACCACTCTATAAGACAAATCTTTATTTGTATTAATAATGTTAAAGAGGGAGCTGGTGCCAAGCTTTAGATTGGCATACAATTCCAATCTAAAGTGTTGATTTCACCATTGTAGCATAGTTATTACCATAGGACTTCGGTTTTAAATCCTTGATAAAGGAGGGAGTAATTGTTGCATGTTCGGACACCCAAGGTTCCACACACTGCTAAAGAGTTTAACATCGTTTTTTAAGTAAACCAGAATTATAATGAGCTATGAAATGCAGAGCGACACAGATCCTGGTAATGTTTTGACTCAAGATAATAGTTATTGTCTGAAATAGATCATTAGACATTTTAATACTGATTAGGTGTAAATGGATTGCAGTAGTAGTATTACTCGAAGGAAGTGAGTTTTGTACCAAGTTTCAGGAAAGGTGGGAGGCAGAAGTCCCAATGAAAAGTTAGAAATCGTGAATTAATCCATATATACATATTTTTGTAGACAAAGGATACTGGCCTATGCTGAAATGTCAAAGTCTCTGCAGAGCACGACACATGGCCAAAAAAGACGGAGACCAACTGACCTTTGACCCTGACCGACAGTGTAACTTGACAAGGCACTGTGGATGACTAACTCTGGGGTGAAGCTGACCAAACTTGACATGACAACCAGACAGTGTGAGTGTGAATGAATGCCGGCATGTGATCAGTGTAACTGCATGATTCTAAAACAATAACTAACCAAGCATGTTTTTGGACTAACATATTATTTTGGAGCTCCAAGGGAAACGAGAGGTTTCCTAAGAATTCCACAAAAAGGGGCAACCGCACATGTGATATTTTCCTCCCACATGAGTTGGCAGTTTGCAAATGTAAAACTACAATCTGAAGATTCTGTTTCTTTTAGGCCGGAAGGACGGAGAGGAACACTTCTTTTCACTGAAGTGTTCGCTGTGGAAATAATGATAATGATGTCAAATTGAAAATAATGTTCGTTATGTCCCTAACCAATTACCTGACAGTTTTTGTTCCCCTCCCATTACAGGGTTTTGTTACACATGATTTCATGTGTAAAAGGGGGGAGTGAGTATAATGTATAAATGTCAACATGGCTGTAAAATTCACAATTTAAATTTTTCTTTTAAGGATTGACAGAAACCTTCCGCCCCAACCCAGATGTTCAAACTGAGCATTGAATGTAATTAACCTGCTCCATATCTGGGGATAAGATACTGTTTGATGAATGTTGAGATGTTTCTAAATATTGATTTGAATTATAGCAGGTAACAAAGAAGTAGTGGCCAAGGGGCTACTGTGAAACCGAAGAAGTTGACCTGTGATAATGAAACAATTTTGTAATATTTTAACAGACATTAGAGTAACTGAGGTTTGAAATGTAGAAAGAACATATTACAGTTAAAGCTAAAACATAGTAGTGTATTGAGACAGAATTGAATTTAGACAACATCATGTAACTAGCCTGGTAAAGAAGTAAAAGCCATAGACTTTATTGTTTAGGTCATTATGGGGATATACATTTCATCTAAATTTAGAATAGAAAGACATTTGATGACAGTTTGTTGGAATTCTGTATTCATTTTTTCAGCGTGATAATATCTAAGCACTGACAGGTAGAAGCAGTATCACCAGGAAATCATTCACTTTGTTAGTATCGTGATTTTGGTTGTTTTTGAATCCATAACATTAGTGTGTTTCTTTACCAGAAACATTAGCAGTTCATATTATATTTGGATTTTAAATAGGATTTCATTTAAAAATAAACACGGATGCTTGTCAGAAATTCAGAGCTATTGAAATATGTTATTTAGTTTACCTAAAGATGTTGGGGTTCTTATTTAGTTGGCACAATCCAAGTATTAAGATTCTGAAGCTGCACTGGCAGATAGGAGGTCTACAATTAATTTAGAAAACCTGTTCACAGACGGCTGTTGTTTCAAGACACCCCACCAAGAGGCTCCAAGTGGGTCAAAACAGCTGAGCGTAGGCTTGAGGGAGTTGTATCAGATTTCTCCACACAGGTTGCTGGCGCCAAAAGGGGGACCCGAGAATCACGAGGCCGACACAGCAGAGTTCGTCTGGCTGAAAGTCATCAGGACAAAGTGGCTCAACCCCAGGCTCTCCGACCCCGACCGAGTGACCCAGCGGACCTCTTATGCCGTCTGCCTGGGAGAAAAGGGGGACAGCTCGTACCACGGGAGCC